CAATTATTTGAATATGTATATACAATGCAAACTTTAAAAAATTAGTCAAATAAAAGGAACATTGATAGATAATGTTGATGAACATAAGCAGTTTCTCCTAAGCTTGAATCTGATTCAAAATGAGAAATACGAGAATAAAAGAAATCATAAAAAAATTCAAAATCTGTAAGTCGATATTACAGAATATGCACCATCATGAACCAACAAACATATACATAAAATCACTTATACCCAGTTTTAATTTACCTAAATTCAATGAGATAATATAAAAATATATTCAAAAATAATTTTGAAATTAAAGAAATTTCTTAAAAATTTAGAATCAAGGTTGCAACCATTTATTTTGAATATGTACACACAATATAAAATCTTAAAAGATTAACTCAAATAAAAGGAACATTAATAGATAATGTTGATGAACATAAATAATTTTTCCTAAGCTTGCATCTGATTCAAAGTGAGAAATGCAAAAATAAGAGAAATCACAAAAAAATCCAAAATCTGTATGTCAATGTTACAGGATATCCACAATCATAAATTAACAAACATATACATAAAATTACTTATACTCAATTTTAATTTACCTAAATTCAATTAGATAATCTGAAAGAATATGCAAAATAAATTTTGAGATTAAAGAAATTTCTTAAAAATTAGGAGTCAAGATTACAACAATTTATTTTATATATGTACATACAATGCAAAATTTTAAAAGATTAGTTCAAATAAAAGGAACATTAATAGATAATGTTAATGAATATAAGCAATTTCTCCCAAGTTTGAATCTGATTCAAAATGAGAAATGCGATAATAAAAAAAATCACAAAACATCTAAAATTTATAAGTCGATGTTACAGAATATGCACCATCATGAACCAACAAACATATACATAAAATCACTTATACCCAATTTTAATTTATATAAATTTAATGAGATAATTTAAAAGTATATTCAAAATAAATTTTGAGATTGAAGAAATTTTTTAAAAATTGGGAGTCAAGATTGCAACAATTTATTTTGGATATGTACATACAATGTAAAATTTTAAAAGATTAACTCAAATAAAAGGAACATTAATAGATAATGTTGATGAATATAAACAATTTTTCCTAAATTTGAATCTGATTCAAAGTGAGAAATGCGAGAATAAGAGAAATCACAAAAAAAATACAAAATCTATAAGTCAATATTACAAGATATGCACCATCATGAACTAACAAATATATACATAAAATTATTTATATTCAATTTTAATTTACTTAAATTCACTTAGATAATATGAAAGAATATACAAAATAAATTTCTTAAAAATTGGAGCCCAAGATTGCAACAATTTATTTTGGATATGTACATACAATGTAAAACATTAAAAAATTAGTTCAAATAAAAAGAATATTGATAGATAATGTTTATGAACATAAACTGTAACAGCCCCGAAAATTCATAATGGAATGTATATTAAAAATATCAAATGCGGAAGCGAAGTCAAAAATTCGATTAACATCCCTTACACTAAAACCAAAAACGTGCTCACAATATAAAAGATTAAACTACCTAAAGGAGAAACTTGAAAGTAAAAGCTACAAATATGACTATGGAGTCTTTAGGCGTCCTCTTCGTCGTCCTCCTGCGGAACCGGCTCGGGAATAATGTCTTCCTGATCTGAAATGATTAAATAAGGAATGAGTTACACTAGCCCAGTAAGGACATCACGATATCTCACCGTCACGAAGGTAAAGGTGGGTAGAAAACACAAAAAGACCAATGGAGCATAATTTACAACAAAACCTTTTATCAATAATAAAATTTTTACCATTCACTTACCCGGTGAAATTCATAAGACAATATACGAAAACTATAACATCATTATCATCATGAAATCATGTATAAACTGTATAACGTAATACTTATCAAGCCTTTCGAAATTCAATCGTTACACAATATATTTTCCTCATTTACCAGCCCACTAATATCCATGGGGATCCATAGGGGTCCCGCTACCCGTTAACCCTTAACACTTGAAATCATATTCCAGGGCCGTCCCCATACCCCGTCCGGTATGGGCGCCAAAACCATAAACCTCATTACCCCGTCCGGTATGAGGGTGAAACGGGCCGTCCCCATACCCCGTCCGGTATGGGCGCCAAAATACATAAGATCTCTATACCCCGTCCGGTATGGGAGACCACAATCCCGGTAGG